GCCCTATTGTGCCGAAGCCGGCCTCGGGGCGGGGACTGCGAGAAGGCGCCTCCCTCCGCCGCGGCTCGGCCCCCGGCTGCTCCCTCGACCCCCGCGAGTCACCGGGCCATCCCGCCGCGACCCCCTTCCTGCCGTCCTCCTAGCCAGTGCGGGATCCTGAAACCCTTGAACAAAATGGCGAAACCTAATATGGCCGTTCCGGAGTGATTGACGCCCAAGTAACGTTTCGTTTTCTTTCTCTCCCTGTTTTTGTGTGTTTCTTTTTTCTCCCACCCCCCGCCCCCTTTTGTCGTTTTTCAGACCGAGTGTGTCAGCAGCCAGGACTTTCTCTCTGGGTCCCCTTCCAAAACGCAGCCACCGCCGTCACCAATCTCTACAAAGGTAAAGATAACCTTGCTGCATTGCCGACTAAGGGGAAGGGCAGCCTGCGTCAGGGTGTAAGCCCGGCGTTCCGAGTGCATCGGCCACCTTTGCTTGGACCCAGGTCGCCGTAGTGTTTCCTTTTCTGAATCCAGCCGCTAACTGTGAATACCTCGCAACTTGAGAATTCCGGGTGTTATAAAACTAGATAACTGATGTTTAGCTGGAGGTGTTTGACCCCTTCATCTGTCGGCGACATTTGACAATGTCTGGGGCTCTTTTGAGTGAGAGGAGGCTGCTGAATATTCTGAGGTGCCCTAGACAGCCTCCCCACACCCATGTCTCAAACGTCAGTAGTGCCGAGGTTCAGAGGCCCGGATCAGGGAGACGATGAAATGTGCTTCTCTGGCACCCAGGGAAAAGAATAGTTTGTATTTCTAGTCGGAGAGGTAGGAAGTGCTTCTGGAAAAGCGCCTCATGGAAAAGATTTTCTGAAATTAGGCATTTTCGAGCGTCATAGTGGCTTAGCATTTAAGTGCGTCGCAAACTAGCTAATTGGAATAGTCTGCGCATATTAACATGCTGCTCCTTCGCAACTCCATCGGACACAAGCCTTCAAAGCTACCTTACATCTGTACATTGTTGGTAGGAAATCTGATCAATTTGAGTTGATTTGTGTTTGATGGTAGTGCCTTTGCAGTTAATTCCCCTGCCCCACGTAAAGATCCGTAAATAAATGTTGTTGCCCATCAAACTCTCAGTAACAATGGGTATAGGTTTTGTGCTTTACTCATCTTGAAGATTTGGAAATTTGGTTTTGATTTCTGGCAAGGTTTTTTGTGGAAAAAGGATTTGAATTTGAGTGTTAATCTTACTAAAAATGTAATTAAACGCTTCTAAACCTCGAGAAGCGGCTGATAACTGCATTCGAGCTTTGTGCATTTTAAAATTAGCAAAATAGGTTAAAACAGGCTGTGCAGGGACTTGATTCACAGATTCTTACTGGGTAGGAATGAGCAAATTAAGATAGCATTCAATAGAAAAAAAATGTTCTGTATTTTGGATTTCTAGGGTAGACTGCAGTTTTTTGGAATGGTAATTTGAGGATGTAACTGAAACTGGTGAGTAGAACGTTAATTTTAGGGAATGAGGAACTGATAGTGTAGGTTTACTGAGAAAAGGGAAACATGATTCAGTGGTGCCCTAGTGGTCAACTTTGATTTTTATATATCTGAGTTCCTTAAATTTTGACTTTAACATCCATTACTGATAGAGAGTTTTGAACATTTTTTGGAATGGCTTTTGGTTTCACCCAGACAGGGAGTTTTAAAATAATACTGAAACATTTTTTTAAGAAACTCAGCTTTCTTATGTATAATTTACACAAGTAAAATCACCCTTTTAAGATGTATAGGTTGAGTTTGACAAGCATGCATTGTTGGTAAATGTAATGTATCTATTCCTTGCCAACCCACTCCCACCCCTGATAGCTATATATATGGTTTTTGAGTTTCCGTAATGTTTCCTTATGGTGTGTAGCCTTTTGTGTCTGACTTTTCCACTTCCCCTAATGTTTCTGAGATTGATCCTTTGAGTTCACATTGCAGGTATTAAATAGTTTTCTTTTTTGTATGGAGTTTTTGGTTTGTTTTTTGCTGAGTAGCATTCTGTTGTGGAGGTATCACTGTTTATCAGCTCACTATTTTTGCAGTTACTTTGTTTTAAGGGGAAGGTAACACATTTTTAGTCTCTTCTGTGTCTCTTCAGGCTTTTCGATGAGGCCATACAAAACTGAATGGCCTCTGATTTTTAGTTTTTGGTGCTTTTGTGTGCTCTTGGAAAGTATCTCTTTTAGGGCTACAGCTGGCAGCTCTCTTTAGTGCTAATTATTCATATAAAAAGATGTGCTCAGAAGGTGAACTCTGAAATATTCCCTAATTTGATTACTTAGTTTGAAATTGCTTTTTATAATGTACTAGTTTTCTTTGTTCAGAAAACTTAAAGACATTAAATTTCTTTTAAAATAAATGTCACAGGAAGTTCTTGCATTATTGAAAATGCTGGATTATTAATCTAGCCTTAGTTTTATTTTGTATCCTATTTCTGTAAAATGAAGTACATCCCTTTTTACCTTAGGAATGGTTAATTGTGGTTTGTGGAATTTGGTAGGATAGCAACATTATTCTATTCTTCACTGATTCAGGGAAAGTGGATAAGCTTTCCAGATCCTCACATTCTTCTTCCTTTAAGGGTGTGGTCTTTAGAGAACAAGAATGCAGCTGTAAGAATAATTGGGTACCTTAAATAGAACCTATAAATTTATCACAGTGCATGCAGCAGTGAGTAGTGGTAAATTGAGTGTTCACAGTTCTGATTAAATATTCAAATGTAATTTACATGGGAGATTTTGAAGGATCCCTGTTAAGTGGGTAGTGCTCTTGTATTTTGTATGATTAAGCACTTATCTGGCAAGCTAAAAATGGCTCATTTTGCAGCCTGAGTAGAAGTTGACTTTTTTTTTTTCACCAGGTTCTTGATAACACCTAAAATGAACACATGAGAAGGTTAGAATTGAGATAAAAGTCTAGTAGAGGGCCCCTTTTGATTGCCTGTGGGATTTTGAAAACTTGAAAATTCAGTTGGCTTGGCTGAATATGACTGGAAGTATTTGGAGGAGAGTGGATTGTGTCCTCAGTGTGGACAGAATTCGGCAAATTGGAATGTATGGTTTCCTCTATTCCACATAAGTTGGATCACAATTTAGCATCCTTGTTTGGAAGGGAAGAAAAATTCTGATTGATTTTGTTTTCACTTTGGGTAAATCTAAAAGGAATGTTTGTTAACTATCCAATGATGCTGTGTTGCTGGTTTAGTACATTTTTTGATATCTGCAGCTAAAGGGAGTGAAAAGTTACTGAGGTGGTTTTAACCTAGCCCAAGTTGGTGCTTACTTGAGAAATGCTTGCTCAAGCCTGTGTTTGCTTCTTAAATCCACCTCCCATTTCCTTGGGTGACCTGTTTCCGTTTCTCTCCTGACTCCTCATTAGGAATATATTCTTACCGAATTCTGAATTCCTTTTACTGTTCGGAGTACTTGCTCAGTTGAGAGGTTGCACTGGTGGCTGTCCTAGGACAGGGCTGTCCTGTGGAGCCTCGTGGTCAGCCAGAGGTGCTACTGCTGCTCTCGCTTTTCAGCAGCCACCTGTGAGCCAGCACCTGGTCACACCCAACAGAGCCACTTCTCACCACTTCTCTGGTATTTCTCTCAACCTTGTAATATTTTTCTTCTTTGATTTTTGTTTTATGTTGAGCTCCATTTCTTTGCCTCCACATTTTAAAACTGAAACTTTATTTGCGTACCAGTTCTACCACGTTATGTTTAGAGTTCCTCTTGATACTGTTTCTATTAAAGATGTTCCTGGGTTTCTCCTTGAATGGCATTTTTGCCCCAAGTGTGACTGTTGCTCCTGTTGCTCTAGCAGTACTTGC